ATCAAAAAAATATGTTGCAACCCTTTCAAAGACTCAATGTATGACAAACTCTTGAAAACAAATGGCCAATAAATGAAAAAGTAAAAGTTGGCATACTTTTCCATTGACTTTCCTGGGACGAAGTCTTTGCTCAGTCCTAAAGCGTCCCTCATTTTGTCGCGATTCTGAAACGTCAACTCAATCAAATCTATGGGTTCCCTCAAAACAATAACAAATCCATAAAAGGTACAAGCTGCACAAAACAAAACCATTTTCGTCAGATGACAAAGGTGCTACCCTAGGACCTAGCCGAGTGGTAATTGAAGGTTATCGAAAATCCCTCTCCATCGCCCTGTGGGTTGTTTTACGCAATAATATTCATATAACGTAATTCTATAGTGAACTTCAAGGCCAGCAGTGGATTCACATGAACAAAGTGACAGCAGGAAAGAGGGATCTGCAGGACGTGTAGCCACCATTTGAAAGATGCCCCAAACTTTCTCATCAGTAATGAAGGAATCCGAGGCAAACGAGACTAACGTGATGAATGCAACCGAATATTGAAATCCAATGATCACGTTTACAAAATCCACAAAGTACCTTTGCAGCAGCTTTAGCCCTGGCGTGCGAATCTCTGGTGCCAAGCTCAGCATCCAAGTTGAGCTCTCCCGACTCCAGCTGACTTAACAGGAGTTTCCGATAATCCGAAACCTTCTTTTGAATTTCATCGTCATCGAAACCCTGTAATAGAACAAGAAATTATTCGCAGGATCTATTTCCAGTACGCTTTTCAAATGAATACCTTCTCTTCCATGAGCATTTCGAACTCAGCACATTTCATTTCAATGATTCTCTTCCTTTGATGCTGAAGAATTTCTTCATTTGGACCTTTGTTGATCTGTGCTTCGGCTCTGCGAATATCAGCTTCGCTATTGTATTCAACACGCTTCTGAAAAAATAGCACGTACTTATTAGAACCAAGATTTCCGTGTAAAAAATAATAACATTCATAATTCACCTTTGACAGTAATAAACTGGAGAGATTTGCCTGGACGTATCCATTTGTACCTGAACCCCTTGCCGTCTGAAGGCCAATACCGTTATACATGGTTTGAGTGGCCTGAAAACGACTTCAGTTACACCATGGTAACCTCAAACGGGAACAAGCAAGAAGAACGAAAGTAACGAAGCATGCTACGAATAAATTCAAAACTACTACGAAACTATTAATCAACAAGGTCTCCACAAGTATGGAGTCGCTTAAACAATACAAACTGCGGACTCCTCTGTTTAACACATTCACGCCGATAGGCCGCCCATATG